GCCGGCGGCGTGCTGCGTCCTGCCGGGCGCTGTCACTGGGCCTGGTCTGGGGATCCCTGGGGAGCGGGGCCGGGGCCGGGGCCTCTGCCGCCCAGGCCCGGTGAACCGCGGTCTTGCCTAGCTGAGCCTCCGTGCTGTGGCGATCTGTGGGGGACCTATTCTGGTCCCTCACCGCCCACCTAAGGACGGGCCACCGCCACTGAGAAGGGTTTAACTCCGTCAAGTGTGTTAACCTGTGTTCAGGGAAGCGCAGGCTGTCCTTTCCTCACATCGTTAGCAGGGGAGCCACGGTGGTCCGGTAATGGTGTCTCTTGCTCCGTTCGCAGTGGTGCCACAATGGAAGCCAAGGGTAAACGGAAGTTCGTGGGGAAGAGTGGAAAAGCACCTCGTGGAAAAGTGCCACACGGCAAAAGGAAATTTAAAAAAGGTAATGGTAAGAAGGCGAAGGCTCCTTAATAGGAGTCCTGGCTGAGTGATTATTGTTGTGCACAGGCATGTTCAAACTTCTTTTTTTCTTGGTGAACTTAATATCGAGATTAGTAGCTTGGTCGATGAGTGAAGAGAGGTGGATATTGTCTACATGGACTACAGTAAGGCTTTTGAAAGTGTCTCCCATATGGTCCTCATGGAGGTGCTGATGAATTATGGGCTGGATGAGCAGATGGTGAGGTAGATTGAAAACTGGCTGAACGGCTGTGCCCAGAGAGAGGTAATCAGTGGCACAAAATCTAGTTGGAGGCCGGTAGCTAGCAGTATACTCCAGGAGTCAATACTGGGTATAGTCCTGTTCAACGGCTTCGTTGATGATCTGGATGATGGGGCAGAGTGTACCATCAGCAAGTTTACTGTTGACACAGAACCGGGAGGAGTGGCTGATGCACCAGAGGTCGTGCTGCCCTCCAGAGGGACCTCAACGGGCTGGAGAAATGGGCTGACAGAAGCCTCATGAAGTTTAACAAGGAGTGAAGGGCAAAGTCCTGCACCTGAGGGGGGAACAACTCCATTCACTAGTACATGCTGGGGGAAAGCAGCTTTGCAGAAAAGGCCCTGGGGCTCCCAGTGATCACAAAGTTGAGCATGAGCCAGCAATGTGCCCTTGTAGCAAAGGTGGCTAATTGGATCCTGAGCTGCATTAGGAGGAGTGCTGCCAGCAGGTTGAGGGAGGTGATCTTTGCCCTCTCCTCAGCACTGGTGAGGCCCCACCTGGAGTGCTGTGTCCAGTTCTGGGCTTGCCAGTACAGGAGAGACATGGACATACTGGAGAGAGACCAGCAAAGGGCTATGAACATGATGAAGGGTCTGGAGCATCTCTCCTATGAGGAAAGGCTGAGAGAGCTGGGATAGTTCAGCCTAGGGAAGAGAAGGCTCAGGGAGATCTTGTCAATGTGTACAGATACCCGAAGGGAGGGTGCAAAGGCAGAGCTGGGCTCCTTTCAGTGGTGCTCAGTGACAGGACCAGCGGCAGTGGGCACAAACTGAAACACAGGAGGTTCCCTCTGAACATCAGGAAAGACTTCTTTACTGTGAGGGTGACCGAGCACTGGCACAGGTTGCCCAGGGAGATGGTGGAGTCTCCCACCTTGGCGACAGTCAAAAGCCACCCAAATATGGGCCTGGGCAACCAGCTTTGGGTGGCCCTGTGTGAGCAGGAGGGTTGGACCAGGTGACCTCCAGAGGTCCCTTCTGACCTCAACCATTCTATGATTCTATCTTGCATTCAAAACTATACTGACTGTATGATCAAATAACCTGGAAAAAGTAAAGCTGAAATGCTTTAAATAGATTGCATTGCAAGCCCTTCAGCTCTATTTGATTGACCTAAAATACTCTTAATTAAAAATTTGAAGTTGATAATTTTTTGGTTCTAGACTTCACTTTCTCACATTAAGAAAAAGTATTTGAAGTTGGGTGTGTGAAATGCTGTGGGTTAGGATTGAGAAGATACCTTTCAGTGTTTGCTCTCTTCTGCTTAAAACAGATGATGTCAAAACAGCTCTGACCATAAACTGTGAAGAGACGATTTGGGGATTGATGACTTTGATGTCAGAGATGGTGAAATTCTTATTTTAGAATAATTCATTTTATGCCTGGGCTGTTATACTGCTGCCCAGAAAATAATGCCTGGGCAAAACTTCCCTAGGGAAAACTGGGACACCCAGGGAATGCAATGAAAACACCAGCTTTGAGAAGCATATAAGAATTATTGTTTTATATATAATTGTTATTACAAAGTGGTTTAATTCTTGTTACAGTAGTAATTTGTTATTTTGAAGCAGCATTATCTCTAGGATAACATTTTAATTTCTGTTTTGTTGGTTAATAGATTCAGGTCCACCGAAGAAACTTCTTAACAAAGGAGATGAGGAGGGAAAGCCTAAATCCATTTCCAAGAAATTTGTGAAAGGACAGTTAAGACCTGGAAAAGCTAGTGTCAAACAATTCAAGAATAAACAGCAATCAGAAAAGCTTGCAAAGAAGAGGAAGCTCCAGGATGGTGAAGAGGGAGGTGAGCAGACTTTTAAGCCTGGATATCAATGGAAACTAGGTTTTGGGAAACACATGGTTCATCTAGGTCTTCCTCTTTCTCCTTGCCTTGTTATCACCTTTCCAGATTGGCTGAATGACTCCCAAGTTTACTTCATGTTTAATTTTTGCTGTGGAAAAGTTTACTTCACCTGACTAAGCTTGAGGCCAAAGTCATGAGAATCAACAGTTATGAATTTTCTTGGAACTCAAAAGTAAAGATGCAGTAGCAAATTTAAATAATTGGTATGCCATCATAAAGCTATGATTATTTTAATGACAGTATTAAGGGGCTAGCTTGTAACTGGCTGTTTTCAAACAAATTTGGAAAATACAGTTTTTCGTAGACCATTTCAGAAATTTAATCCTCTGTTCTGAAAGTACTGGCTATAAAATTTGGAACACCAAAATTCATGAAACAAAGTTGATTATCCTTTATATTATTTTTTTTCTGTGGTCCAAACTGACACCTCTTAAACAAACAAAGACATCGTCGGTGTTATCGCTGCTTTTTACATTTTACAGCAAACCAGCTTATTTTTGTGTTTATGCAGAGAGGCTAAATAAATGTCTGGTTTTATCACTGTTTAAATGGATTTATTTTTTAATATTGTTTCTGGTACATGAGAACTTCATGTTGTTCCTTCCTCTGCTGTGAAGCAAAGCTCTACTGCGACAATTGAACAGCACTAAAATGAGAAGTGGAATCTGAAGTGAGGGATTGTGAAGTTCTGCAGAAAAATGTTAGGTGATTGAAGAACAGTAGAAGGTGTTGATATTTAGATGTCTGGAAATGTAATAGCAACAGGATGTTTGTATTAAGCTGCTTTAAAAAAAAACCAAAACACCATCACAAACAAACCTTTAAATGTTTATAAGAATAACTGTGAAAGCTGCTGTGTATTGCACAGTGGCGCTGCTCCCAAAGCAAAGTGTTACTCTTTTTGCTTGTCACTATTACTTTAGGAGAGTGATAGAAAAAATCAATAATATGCTTTGTAAAAAGAGAGCATGGGTTTTGGGTGGGTAAGACAGTTAAGTGCATGCTGCTAAATACCAACAAGCGGTGCTTTAAGGTCTAAAAATTTAAAGCTGGGTCTTCAGTGTTCCATATAGAACTACTGGTTAGCATGACTTGCTTCTGTGAAACCATGTGATATAAGATGATGGTTTTTGTCAAGGTATGAATAAAACTAAAATCAGATATTTGAAGTTTTTCCATAACTCATTTGTGGCACTTTCTATAAAATTACCTTAACTGAGTTTGTTATGTGGCAGTGTATAGCTGTTGTATGGTAAAATCCCATGCTTAAGGAATTTGACTGAATAAAAAGATTAAGCATGTAAAAAGGCTTTAATTTTTTTCCTTTCTCTGAGATTTCAGGTATGTATCTCTGAGTTAGAGTTCTTCTTTTGAGAGAGGGAAAAGGTATGTATGAGTACAGGATGAACTAAAAAGGGAGAATTACCTGGGGCAGTCATAGGCTGCTAGGTGCATTCTGAGTCAATTTTCAAGCTATTTAGAGGTTTATTATGCATACTTTAACAGAGCTTTGAGGAAAAATCATCATTTGCCTTGTTCTTCCAGTATTCTAGAAGTGAAAATTACTAGCGTAGCATACTTATTAAATATTTATGCTTTCGTATTAGCTAGCTGGGTAACTGCAGGCAAAGCTCCTGAATTGTTAGCAATTCAAGTCACAGAGCTGCCAGAGTTTATACTGATAAAGGAGTCCATTGCTCCTCTTTTATTGACCATGGAAAATGGATTTATTTTTGTCTTCAGGGTCAGATTCTAAGAAGCCTAAGTGGAATGACTTCAAAAAGAAAAGGAAGGAGTTAAAGCAAACCAGACAACTTAATGATAAAAGTAATTATGACATAATTGTAAAATCAAAGCAAATATGGGAAAGTGTGAGAAGGTAATAATGATTTTTTTTTTCTTTCATTCAGTTGGCTTTTAGTTGTAAGTTGCAAGAAGACTCTCTTTATCATCTTGTAATTATATGAAACTATATTTCCACAGTGAAACTCCATGTGTGAATGATAACATTACATGCAATTCTGTAGATGGTTCAAGCAGAGTGTGGTGACCCATGGTGCTAGAAATATCTGGATTGAGCTCACTTGTATTTTAGGCTAAAATTTGTGAGTAAATGCTTAAGGAGTTGTCTTATTTTTTGAAGCCTGAAGCACAGACCACATACTGATTCAGCCTGATCTTGCAGTGGGATCAC